CATTATTCAGAATTATCCAATATTACTCAAAGGTTTCCAATAGTATTCAGTAGTATCCAACAACATTCACCATTCTACCATAGCTACGTGAAATGCTCGAATTTGATTGGTCAATAAAATTAGACGCTATCAATTTTGGATTGAAAATGCGTCTGATTTCACGGCGCTTTACTGCGCACGTATACATCACTGCCGCACTACTTCAGCTTGGCCACCCGCATGACTAATATCAACACAACAGACGTGATGGAAATGCTGATAAAACATTTATTAAAACTCGAAAAATACAATTATACGATTTCTCCTCCACAATTATTAGGGAACCTCACTATCACAGTTATTACCTGCTATTATAAAAATATTCAAACTCGATTACAATACACAGCCCCAAACATAAACAAACAATATCTAACATATAAATCAGAAAACCTTGTAAAAGTTCATCCCTATCTATCCCTATTTGTGCAGCAAAACGTTCGCAAACATTTACCTACCTTGTAAATGGTATATTTGTTTCCGTTTAGAATGGGAAATTCGCAAGATAACGGTCAGGCGAAACACAAAATGTATGCCACTCATACTTCATCATGTCCCGTTGCATCGTTCAAAATGTCAAAAATTGAACCACGAGAATTCCGCTCTCTGCAACCTTCCAAGGCTGTCACTGCTATGTTTGTACACTTTGAAAAAGCTTGGCCACAATCCAGTCCCAAATGATGAGAACAATGTTCCAAGGAATCCCAAAGCATGAACAAAGCAGCAAGTTAGTCGCATCATGATCGAAAGCAGCACTGTCACTCTTTCGACGCATGCGGGGGTGGACGAAAAGGTTCTATTCTTCGATTCAGAAGGGTTCAAATTCGACAGTCAGTCAAGTATTTTCCACTGTCACTTCGAATTTCAACCTTTCGCAAAATGTAAACACTGGCTCGTCCGCCATTTCAAACTGTTGCGTAACTGTCTACTTCCAAGAAAATAAGTAGGTCAGACGATTCCATTATAGTGTGGCCAGGGGGGTACAGTAACACGGCACACGAAACAATAGGCTGGTTTCGGTCGTGTGGAGTTATGATTATAAAAACCAAGCTCTTAGGTGTTACATTATTGCATTGAATAAACAGTAGTTTGTTTTCTTTGGACAAAATATATTTTATGTTGCAATGTTAAAAAAAATACGAACGGCACCTACCACTCCCTTTATAGACGAGTTCAATTCGCCTCTCGTCCCATGCCGGATTACACAGTGTCTTCCGTAGGACGAGGAAATCGGTGTTATGGTAGAATGGAGATAAACTTACTGTGTTTGGAAATTAGATGAATGTTAATCATGAAAATTATGATGAAAATTAATCATTTGAAACCTCACGCTACGCGTTCGGCTTCAAATGAAATTTAGAGACTATCAATTCGGTCTAACATTCATTTTATTTTCAAACACAGTACGTTTTTTCTCATAAGTATCCATGAGCATTCAGCAGTATTCAGTAGTATTAAGCAGTATTCAATAAGCACTATGCTGTGTTTGCAGTTCTCGACAGCGGCGAAATAAAGAAGCTCGTCAACGCAGTTGTGGAGAACTTTGGCAGTAACGCTACCGAGACGCAGTGTGAACAGGAGTGTCTCAAGCTCTTCACCAACGACATCCTCGACCTCGGCTGTGACTTCGCCTGCAAGGGGTAAGTCAGTGACCGTAAAGACACATGCTGTAATGGTTGAGAGTGTGATGATTCCTTGTTGAAATGACCTTGTAATTAATAACCTACGGTATTGGTGGAATATTTTCGCAATAATCATAAACCTCTTTAAGCACACTTGATGATTTCTTCTTGCAACAGTAAATAAACTTCTGTTATTACTATAGTGCCCGAACTAAGCCATTGTTTGGTTGTACATTTACTTCACAAACTGTGTTTTGTTACAGAATCCAGAACCTTATTAAACTTATTCCCCACGACCGTCCGACTACCCCTGCCGGCAGATAAAGCATTTGTACCCGGTATTGAATAAAATGTAAATTTACCCCTATGAAGCCTTTGTTATGGTTAATACAAGCAATCCATAAAATTCTACTACATCTACAGCGGAGTTCTGATTTCCCCTATTCACTGGATGCTTCGAGTTACGTGAGTAAGTGAGTGAGTTTAGTTTTACGCCGCACTCAGCAATATTCCAGCCATATGGCGGCGGTCTGAAAATAATCGAGTCTGGACCAGACAATCCAGTGATCAACAACATTAGCATCGATCTGCGCAATTGGGAACCGATGATATGTGTCAACCAAGTCAGCGAGCCTGACCACCCGATCCTGTTAGTCGCCTCTTACGACAAGCATGGGTTACTGAAGATCAATATTCTAACCCGGATCTTAACGGGTCAGAGTTAGGTGAAGTCAAATGGGATTTAACATTACAATCAAGATATGTCTACTATGTCACGAGATATGGAGGGAGAGATCTGGAGGGAGTATTGTATGTCATGAGATGTCACAGTGCAAACCATTTCTTTAAATGTCTAAAAACTTCAGTTACTCAAACGACCTAACTGTTCTAATAATATATGTCCAAAGTGCACCGAATTTCTACTTCCAACAGTCATTCGGCTATTACGATACACCCCCTCCCCTCCCCACACACTAACCCCTATTTTGAGAGTGCATTACCACTTGCACTTCCTATTGAACATAGTTGTTTGTATAGTAATCGGTATTGAAAGATGGTTGGTGTATGAAATTTGCATGTGTACGATTTTCTTTTTTCAAACAAAAACAACGGCTAGAAACAAATACTAACATCTGTGTGATACAAGATGACTGCCATAATCAATGGTCTATCGACCTTCTTGAAAGCCGTCAAAATCCAGAATGACAGCCCATGCACGTGTATGGGCTATTGCGTTGTGTTAGGAGAGGTCTTTGAAAAGTTTGTTAACGTTTATACTTGAGATCGAAAGAGGTAGATGGAGGGAGAGAGGGGGGGAGAGAGAGAGGGAAGGAGAGCGGTAGGGAGAGAGGGAGGGAGAGGAGGGAGAGAGCGAGGAGAGAGAGAGAGAGGGAGGGAGCGAGGGAAGGAGAGAGGAGAGAGAGAGGAGAGAGAGAGAGAGAGAGAGAGGGAGAGAGGGAGGAGAGAGGGAGGGAGAGCGGTAGGGAGAGAGGGAAGGGGGAGAGGAGGAGAGAGCGAGGGAGATAGAGCATGAGTTTAATTTACGCCGCTTTTAGCAATATTCCACCAATATCGAGCGAGGGACACCAGAAATGGGCGTCACACATTGTACCCGTGGGAGGAACCCGGGTCTTTCACCAAAAGGCTACCCGATCGCTCAGGAGAGAAATAAGCAGGAACGGGAGAAAGGGAGGGAGACATGGTTGGGGGAGAAGGGAAAGTGAGAATGGTTTTACGTTGCTTTTAGATTGTTGTTCAACAAATCTCTCAACAAAATTCTAGTTAGCTATGTAACAGCCGCCTTTTTTTTAATGATTCAACCTGGATCAGAAATTCCCGTGATTAAAGATAGCCAGATGACACTTAAGCATTCAGACATTTGGCCACCAGATTTATGGCCAGGCTGGTTGGTAACCCTAAATACAATGGGGGCTTCAGGTAGTACATGTATTTAAAACGCATGTCAAGTCCTCCTTGAAGAATCTAAGAAGCTTATAAAGAATGTAGAATATCTAATGAAAGGAATTCGAAACGTCTTTTGAAATTATTTTGGCTGAGGTCGGAGTTGACCAAACTTTGTTGCTGATTTATATCATTTGTTTCTGAGTGTGACAGCCGTGACGAGTCATTGATACAGGCTGCACTGGCATGTCACACACCTAACACAGGTAGGTCACACACTGGACACAGGTAGGTCACACACTGGACACAGATATGTCACTCACTACACACAGGTATGTCACACACTTAACACAGATATGTCACTCACTACACACAGGTATGTCACACTTAACACAGGTATGTCACACATTAAACACAGGTATGTCACACACAGGACAAGGGTATTCCACAAACTGGACATAGGTAGGTCACACACAGGACACAGATATGTCACTCACTACACACATGTATGTCACACACTTAACACAGATATATCACTCACTACACACAGGTAGGTCACACACTTAACACAAGTATGTCACACATTAAACACAGGTATGTCACACACAGGACAAGGGTATTCCACAAACTGGAACTAGGTAGGTCACACACAGGACACAGATATGTCACTCACTACACACGTATGTCACACACTTAACACAGATATGTCACTCACTACACACAGGTATGTCACACACTGAACACAGATATGTCTCACAATAGACACAGACATGTCTCACCTGGCAGTGGTAGTGTTGTACACATGTGTATACTGTAGTAAAAATGTAACTTTTAAAATAATGTATTATAATGTATTTACACATGTGTATACTGTAATGTAGTAAAATAATGCATTAACTTTTACTGTAATGTAGTAAAATAATGCATGAACTTTTACTGTAATGTAGTAAAATAATGTATTAACTTTTACTGTAATGTAGTAAAATAATGTATTAACTTTTACTGTAATGTAGTAAAATAATGTATTAACTTTTACTGTAATGTGTTGTGTAATATTAACTTTTACTGTAAAAAAATAATGTATTAACTTTTACTGTGTAGTAAAATAATGTATTAACTTTTACTGTAATGTAGTAAAATAATGCATTAACTTTTACTGTAATGTAGTAAAATAATGTATTAACTTTTACTGTAATGTAGTAAAATAATGTATTAACTTTTACTGTAATGTAGTAAAATAATGTATTAACTTTTACTGTAATGTAGTAAACTAATGTATTAACTTTTACTGTTAAGTAGTAAAATAATGTATTAACTTTTACTGTTATGTAGTAAAATAATGTATTAACTTTTACTGTAATGTAGTAAAATAATGTATTAACTTTTACTGTGATGTACAGAACATAATACACTAGACATACAGTACATTCGTGGATATTTGTCCAAACCTGTCCAGACATATTATCTATCCTATCCAAATGACAGAACCATTTTTGTTTTCTTTCGGGATTGAGCTGGTCAGTATAGTAATTTACCTCTGACTTTCTTTTACTCCTGATGATATGCATCCATTAAAGGCTGACCGGGGATGTGTAACACAACATATATATCACAGACCACTATTATTGTCTTTAGATTTTGGGTGTCGCATCGGTCACTTTCATTTTGTCCTGTGTTGACTTCAGTCATTCTCTGGCAACTTCAGTATAAGTCTAAGTCAAAAGGTAGTCAGGTAGACTGATCAAACATAAAGTCATTATTCTTATTAAATCTTAAGTCATCTTCCAACAATTCCTGAACTGTGTTCCCAGCTGCAAATACGTGTATATCTTCTAAGTTTTCAACCAGTAAACCTGATATTTTTGTGAGACTGAAGAATTCACTTCATTGCTCCTTGCGACCATATATGGAAATGTCACTTTCTTCAATACAGTGGCGTCAGGGGATCTGCAGTGCGCAGCAGTTTCATGATCTGGTTGCATTGCACATGTGTTTACCTTTAACTTTCCCACAAAACCGGTTTATTTTCAAGATAACAAATGGAACCAGCCTATTCTATAGATAACAAGTGGAATTTATTAACGTAAGGACCATTGGTTGCAGCGAACATGTGATGCAGAAAAAATCCAGAGGATAGGTATATATAGGCCCCATTCTTGTCTGTCTTTCTTCTTATCTACGACGGTAAGTGGAGCTATGATGTGAGAGAGCTTTGTGAAACACCATTTTGATTACGACATATGGGGGACAATTAGATTACATTGAAATTTAACATTTTCTGTTAGTGTATTTAAATTCTTTCACGAACACCACGAGCTGATTTTAACACAATCTCCTTAGCCTTTTAAGCCAACTGGATCATTTTCGGCAGATAGTCGAGATTGAATGTTTTCATTGAATGTCCTATTCGTGTTGAAGGTTATTGCACATACATTGGCAACTGGTGTTTCATGGCATATAGATGCCTGCATACATGGAGGCAATGTGTCAGCTGTTTATTTTCAGTGAAGAGGGAAAAGATTGTTCATGACGCTGTTGTCTAATGTGTTGAATGTACGTAGTTTTGTCTGTTTAAATGGTGTGTTGTGTAGTGTTGGGGTTTAACACCGATTTTAAGAGATACCATACCGCAGTGTATCATGTATGCTTGTGTCAGCCACCGTAAAATGTCGTTGTTATATCCTCTTAATGCCGAATTGAATGATATAAATATATAAATGATTTTAATGGAATTATCAACAAAGACAATGACATGTTTGTTGCCCTGGATACGTCTTAGTCTGAACACAGGCTTATTCAGAGGAACTTTCTACTTACCATTTTGCTGCGGATTTAGGAGAGTGCGGCAGAGCTCCTGTCAAGTGTTGGTGCAGGCTGCTGGGTCCTAATGATCACAGACTGTAAATGCTATTAAATACTCAAATGACTGAACGGATATGATCGTAACACATGGACTTGTCATATTAAACGTATTCTTGGAGTTGGATGTGTGTGGTTAACACAAATGCAAGGAAATACCTATTGAGCTGTTTAAACAAAGATTATTTGACAATCTTCAAAAGTCATAGTGTTGTTCTATCAACCGTTCATCTAATTCATTCTGTTATAAGCATTTAACTTGTGTTAAATGTAGAAACCATCTTACATTCCCTGTACATCTGAACCTATGCGTGACTCGTTTCAGATGTAATACGTTTAAACTTGACATTGGGAGGTAGGCAAAATGTCCCATACACTGAACGACTATGGATAAACTGTATAGAAACGGCAAGATATTTTACTAAAGATATATTTATGTATGGCTTAAATATGTATGTGAGAGTTACTCAGCCATAAGATCAATCCTAAGATGCTCATTTAAGCATTTCAAAAAGAATATCAAATCACACGATGTAACATCTTTTATCCAAAATATTTTATCTGAAAATATGATGCTGTATATAACATATGTCTATATTTGTATATTTATCAGCTAAGAGAAACGTAATCAATCGCCTCGCTGGCATACGCGATCTATACATGCAAACATTGTCTGTATCAAGGACCTATGTTTATACGTGTTATTTTTATATTTTTTGCAAGTGTGTGTGAGTATGTGTGCGTGCGTGCTTGCGTGCGTGCGTGCGTGCGTGCGTGCGTCTCATTCTGTGTGGACACGTATTGTGTACGTATGTATATTGACATGTGTTCTGTTTGTATCATAGACTAAAGCAGAAAAATACAACATGAAGGTCGCCATCTTCCTCCTCTGTCTCATGCCTCTGGTCTTCTGTGAGAAGAGATTCCTGCTAGACGACAGTGAGTGCCAACACTATACAGATTCCATACCATATCGCCCACAGTTTCATAGTATATTAGTGTGTGAGTGAGTATGGTGAGGATCGTTTTTAGCGATGTTCCAGCAGTATCAAGGCGGGGGACACTGGAAATGGGCTCCATTGTACCCATGTGGGGACTCGAACCCGGGACTTCGGCGTGACGAGCGAACGCTTTAACCATTAGGCTACCACACCGCTCCACTCGGCTCCTCCATCGCCAACGTCAACATACACACGCACAGGCACACACACAGTGTGAGTGAGTTTAGTTTTACGCTGCACTCAGCAATATTCCAGCTATATGGCGACGGTCTGTAAATAATCGAGTATGGACTAGACAATCCAGTGATCAACAGCATGAGCATCGATCTGCGCAAAGGGGAACCGATGATATGTGTCAACCAAGTCAGCGAGCCTGACCACCCGATCCCGTTAGTCGCCTCTTACGACAAGCATAGGTTACTGAATGTTCATTCTAACCCGGACCTTCACGGGACACACACAAAGACTCACATACAGTCAGACACACATACACAGGCACACACACAGGCACACACACACACACACACACACACACACACACACACACACACACACACACACACACATGCATACACACATTCACACAGGCACAGACACACTCACACAGGCAAGCGCACACACTCTCTCACACAGATTTACACACACAGAGTCAGAGACACAGAGACACATATACACAGGCACACACAAACACACACACAGAGGCACACACACATGAAATTCATTGCAACATTAAGTACTTGTATTCCTAAGTATTCAGTAGTAGTCAACAGTATTCAGTATTATTCAGTAGTCAATCAATCAATCTTTATTCGGTACTTAAAAGGCCACAAGCCTATAGTACATTAAAATACACAATATTTACAAATAAGCAGCAGAAAAGCATATGTCAAATATTTACAGCTTACAAATTTAAAGAAGATTTTCTATGTATAAATGCGAAATAGATATACATTGACATGTTCTGTAATTCAATAGTATTTTCATTTGGTAATAGTATGGTCATTTTTATTTCATTTGGATGGTATAATAGTAGGATGTTAAATATTTCTTTCTGAGGTTTCCATAGGCGGGGCAGATAAAAAAGAAAATGGTATTCCTCTTCTACAGAATTAACGTTACGGAGGTTGCAAATTCTATGATTACGAGGAATATTAATATAACTCCCAGTTTCAACAAGCAACTCGTGCGATGAGCAGCGAAAATGGGATAAAGCTACACTGAATTTCTTTACAGTGATTTTTGATAAACAATATTCTTGGCATAGTTCAGATTTCCATTGTTTGTAATACAGGCATTTAGAGGATAGATAGATTGATTCAAGTCATGTTTATTGATAGATGTCTTTCATTCTTTTCGGACCAGTGACATAATAAAATACTTTCTGGTTAGGCGTTTTGATTATTCCAAACATAACCATATCCCGTTTTGAATAAAAATTCCTTTAGGTTAGTTACCCACTTTCTTTTCCCATCTTTATGATATATTGTCATCATATTATAAGATTTTTTAGGGAATCTATGACATGGCATAGTTAATAGTCGTAACCAGTACTTTATAACGTTAATAGTAGAATATATGTATAATGGACATCAACCACACTCGCCATATACCATAGTGCTACATGTGCTAGAGTTCACACCGAGATATATTTTTCACGCATATAAATGGACTTTTCTATAGATTCATAATTATTCAAATGTCATATTTCTGATCCATATAAAGTATTGGGCTTACTTTAACATTAACTATTTTAAAGAATGATTTACATGATATTTCCCCCAAAATATGGATATTTCTAATTATATTTATAGAAACTTTAAAGGCTTGTACAGATGCCTGTTTTGTGTCGTTAATCCAAGAAAGATGATAAGAAAGATATTTATATACGTTTGTAGTTTCTAGGTTTTCGCCTTTGTAAATCCATTTCTTCCTTTTTGAAAGTTTCCCGCCATTCTTAAAAGCAATAACCTTTGTTTTACTCCAATTAACTGCCAAATTCCATTCATGAGAATAGATTTCAACTTGATCAATTTGTTTCTGTAGACCACTTATGGTGCTAGCAAAATAAGACAATATCATCCGCAAAAAGTAGCAAAAATAATTGGGTTAAATCCGGATGTAAATGGATCCCGTTTGTACAGTTATCGCACATTTGCACAGATAATTCATTGATAAAAACTGTAAACAGAAAGGTACTGAATAAAGAGACTATTCTGTAGTATTCAGTAGAATTCAGTAGTATTCAGCAGTATTCAGTAGAATTCAGCACTATTTAGCAGTATTCAGTAGTATTCAGTAGCATTCCCCCGTGAAGATCCGGGTTAGAATATTGATCCTCAGCAACCCATGCTTTTCGTAAGAGGTGACTAACCCGGGATCGGGTGGTCAGGCTCGCTGACTTGGTTGACACGTCATCAGTTCCCAACTGCGCAGATCGATGCTTATGCTGTTGATCACTGGATTGTCGGGTCCAGACTCGATTTTTTACAGACCGCCGCCATATAGCTGTAATATTGCTGAGTGCGGCGTAAAACTAAACTCACTCACTCAGTAGTATTCAGCAGTATTCAGTAGTATTCAGCAGTATTCGGTAAGCACAATGCTGTTTTTGCAGTTCTCGACAGCAGCGAAATAAAAACTCGTCACTTCACTTGTGGAGAAGTTTGGCAGTGATCCAACTGAAAAGGAGTGTGAACAGGAGTGTCTTGACCTCTTCACCAACGACATCCTCGACCTCGGCTGTGACTTCGCCTGCAAGGGGTAAGTCAGTGATTGTAAAACACACGTTGTAATAGTTGATAATGTAACAAAAATCCTTGTTGAACTGGTCTCCTTTCATGAAGCAACCTTTACTAAGGTTAACCTTAACTCCCATTCTTTAACAGACCCGTGAAGATCCGGGGTAGAATAGGTCTTCAGCAACCCGTTCTTGTCATAAAAGGCGACTGTGCTTGTCGTAAAAGGCGACTCACGGGATCGGGTGGTCAGGCTCGCTGACTTGGTTGACACATGTCATCGGTTCCCAATTGCGCAGATCGATGCTCATGCTGTTGATCTCTGGATTGTCTAGTCCATACTCGATTATTTACAGACCGCCGCCATATAGCTGGAATATTGCTGAGTGCGGCATAAAACTAAACTCACTCACTCACTCATTCTTTAACATTGTACTAAGGTTACCTTAATGACTTACGATCACCTTGGTGCTTTGTGAAAGGAGGCCCTGATCAATACTAGTGGACATATTTTGGCAATAACCGTAAGCACACCTCTTATAGCACACTTGTTGATTTCTTCTTCCAACAATAATTACTCTTCTGTTATTACTACAGTTCCCCGAACTAAGTCGTTGTTGTCACGTACATTTACTTCACAAACTGTGTTTTGTTCCAGAATCCAGAGCCTTATTAAACTTATTCCCCACAACGCTGCCACCAGATAAAGGATTTGTATCCGGCCATGAATAAAATGTAACTTTGCCCCCATGAAGCCTTTGTTATGGATAATACGAGAAGTCCATAAAACGCATTAAAGACGTGGACAGAACAACTGATACAGGGCCTGACTGTAGCCCAGTGGCGACCCTATGGTTACTACGCGTAAAACTTCTGATTTCCCCTATCCACTGGATGCGCAGGGTTAGATGAAGTCAAGTGGGGTTTAAAAATTGCAATCAAAATGTTTGCACTTATATACTAGATCTAGTTCTAGTATTAGTATTGTATGTCATGGATATGCCACAATGCAAACCATTTCATTAAATGTCTGTAAAACTTCAATTACTCAAACGACCTAACTGTTCTAAGATATGTCCAAAGTGCACCGAAATGCTATCACCATTGTCTGTTTAATGCAGTCAGATTATCCACAGACCGCCGCCATATAACTGTAATATTGCTGAGTGCGGCGTAAAAACTAGACTCACTCACTCACCTAAACCTCAATGCTGATTTTGTCTCCGTCAGTTGTCCACCATCCAGGACTACCACCCGAAAGAACACGAAAGGTCGTAGAGAGACATAACAATTTATATATCAGAGAGACAGAGATAGAGAGGGAGGGAGAGAGTGCATGAGATTAATTTTACGCCGCATGCACACATATATTTTTATAGATTACATACATGCAGATAGTTTCTTCAGTAAAAAGGCCATAGGCCCATAACCCAGGCAGTGTTTGGTGTTTGAATGACGCGTGCCAGTGAAGTGATTGATTGCCTTTCTCTTAGCTGATGGACTTTACATAAATATAGACTTGTGTTATATACAGCATCAAATGTTCAGATACAAAAATTTGGATAAAAGATGTTACATTGTGGGACTTTATATTCTTTTTGAGATGCTAAAATGAGCACCTTAGGTTTGAGTTTCTTAGGGCTGAGTAACGCTCATATACAAGTTACACATGACATATATATTCAGTAAAATATCTTCCCGTTTCTGTACAGTTTATCCATAGTCGTCCAGTGTATGGGACATTTTGCGTACCTCCCAAAATCAAGTTTGAAACTTCTACATCCGAAATGAGTCCGCAGAGTCTCAGATGTACAGGGATAGGGAGTGTAAGATGGTTTTCTACATCTAACACGCATTTAAATGCGTATAACAGAATTAATCAGTGTTACTACGCATATCCAAATCAAAGAATACTTTTAATATGACTAGCCCCTGTGGTCTGGAGTTGTCCAGTCATTTGAACCTGTATAACCAATTGCAGTCTGTGATCATCCAAATATACGGTAGCCTGCAATATACCTGAGAAGGGCTCTGCCACACTCTGCCAAAACCATAGCATTGTTTGTTGTTTTACCCAATTTCCAAAACCATTTACACATTTTATGCTGTACATCTTCAATATTTTTACAAGATGGAGTCCCCATACGTCTGCACGACAACAAATTTTAGGAGCAATCATAGCGTCAAATGTCTTAAATAAATC